CTAAACAATATTCCAAACTATAATTTTTCATCCATTAATCTATCACAAATAAATCATGCTTCACAATTCAATCACCAATAACATCCAAGTCATAATTTCCATTCCAAATCTAGCATGATACTACTTGTAATCAATTAAGCACATTTAGCATGCTACTACATCAATAAAATTATGCTAATTACGCGAACGTACCTTGTATATATACGATCTTAAAATCGCCACGACTAATAGAAATCACTCACTTCAAAGTCTCCTATAATTTAAAATCATAGAAGAGTATTAAAATCCTCTCTACACAAATTTCCAGCAATATATACTATTATAAAACCCCTCATAATTTAATTAAAATAAGCTGAAATTATATTTAAAATATCATACTTTAATCCTAATTAATGGGTAATTGAAATTCCTTAAAAAAACTTGATTTTTTAATGCACTACCAAAAATTCCTGCATTATATTTTAATAAAAACTTGCTGTAATTAGGCCTTAAAACACTTAAATTAAAGGTTTAAACCATTGTATATCATAATCCTTCAATAATTCATAATTCAAGAACCTAGGGCTTTAAAAATTGGGGCTTTTCAATTAAAAATAAAATCTGAAAATTAATTTACATGATACTCATAAACAAGCATCATAATCAAATCACAAAACTCATAATTAATAATTAGATCTAGGATTAATCTAGTTTTAAAACAAAAAGATTAATTTTTTTTGTTCGAAAAGGGGAGGGCGGCCAACAGCCACCACGGCTGCTGCCAGCGGCCCACCGGTGGTGGTGGTGGCCGGCGGTGAGGGTGAGGCCGAGAAGGGGAAGGGAGAAAAAGAGAAAGAAAAAGAAAAGGAAAAATAAAGAGAAAGGGAGAGAAGTTTACCTTGTATTTTCTCCACTCTGGGTAAAGTTTGATTTGCCTTCAGTGTTAAATATTTATACCCCTTCTCTAGAAACCCTTCTCCCTAAACTTTCCTTTTTTAATCTTTTCTAATCCCTTCCCTAATAAAACTTTACTAAAATAAAACTTTCTTAATTTAAACCCTAACTTAAATAAAATAATTAATTAAATAAACTTTCCTTTTATAAAATATTTATAAACTTATTAAAATGAATAATTAAAATACTTTAAATAAAACATTTCAATTTATTTAAATAATTCTCAAAATACTTATTTTAAATAAAATACGTGGTATTACAGTTATACACCTCAGCAAAATCGAGTTTCTGAACGAAAGAATAGAACGGTGATGGAGATGGCTCGCTGTATGTTAAGTGAGAAAAATCTGCCAAAAAAATTCTGGGCAGAAGCTGTTCACACATCTGTTTATCTGCTAAATAGGCTGCTCACAAAAGCAGTTCAAGGAAAAAGTCCAATTAAAGCATGGAGTGGAAGAAAGCCAACAGCAAAACACTTGAGAGTATTTGGATCAGTTTTCTATGCTCATATTCCATCTCAAAAGAGAAGCAAACTAGATGCAAAAGCCGAAAGAGGAATCTTCCTTGGCTATGACTCACAAGTCAAAGGATATCGACTTTTCAATCTTAGCAATAAAAAGATCATGATTAGTCGAGATGTTGAATTCAATGAAGATGCAAGTTGGAATTGGAAGAAGAAAAGGCTGAGAAGAAAATTTTTCAAGTTGGCAGTGAAGTACATGATGAACTTAGTGAAGGAGTTATGTCTTCGATAAGTGCAATTACTAGATATATCAAGGATCACTATTATGGAGGTAATAAGTTCGTTCTTTTGGGTCGTCATTATCTATTGATAGACTATGAGTGATGATCTTTGGACTAGTCAAGTGGTCCAAAGCCCGCTAGAATGGATCCTATGAGGTCACACACAAGGGTATTGGGTTAAGCAAGTTAGAGGCCCATTAACGGGCCTCATGAGCAATTAACTAATCATAAAATGGATTGGGCTAGCATAGTTAGATTGGAATTAGGTTTTGGGCTTTTGACATAGGCTCTTATTTAGATATAAGATCTATAAATAAGATCCATGCCTAGGGTTGCTTGCAAGCAGTCATAATTCACACACAGTGTATTTTGACATCAAGGCAAATAATCCCAAAACCCTAATTCCTCTCTCTATCTCACGGCTATCTCTCTCCTCCCCTCGTCCGTACGGCCGACCACCCTTGGTGGCGCGTGTGGTGGTTCGTGGTGCTTCATGGTGGTTTGTTGCTCGCTCTTCTTTGTAGAAGGTTAATTGAAGGGTTCAATTGCAACTAACTAGCATTAATGGAGGTTTTAATCTGTGCCCGTGCACTAAGTAGAGGAATCACGCTTGGGGTTCTTTATCTCCCATTGTTCTTGCTCGATCGCATGTGGAATCACGCTTCAAAGGTACAATTATATGTTCTTTATGTGTTATGCATTAGATATTGGGATTAGGTACTATATGAATATGATTCATGTTTATTCCGCAATTAGTACCTATAATCTCCTACATTGGTATCAGCTAGCCTATTGCATTTACGCATATTGACAATAATTCTTTGATAATCCACAATTTTAATTCAATTAGGAGGGAGAATAATTTATTTATAGGTCAATTATTATATTAAATGTGATTTAACTCTTGGAATTGTTAAATGTGATTTAATTCGCTCAAAATAGGCATAAAGAGGATTGAATTTTGCCTTATTGAATTCGAATTTTTCGAACCCTAACCCTAATTTTTCGAAAATTTCAAACCTTTAATAAGCCCTAAAATTTTATTTTTGTGCTTGTTTTTATTCGAGTTCGTTTTAAATATGCTTCATGATTTTAATACCATTGATTTCATGTATAAATTATGAATTTTGCATGATCAATGATATAATTTAAGAGTTAAATTAAATTGAGGATTATTTTTCATGAAGAACCCTAGTTTTAAAATTAGATTGTGAATTTAATTTTAAAAGGATGAATTAGCATAAAAGTTATGTTTTAATTTATCATGGACCACACTAATTTTATTTAACAAAAGTTGTTAATTAAAATTGAAACAAAAAAAAAGGTTATTGCAACAGCAACCGCGGCTGGGTGGCGCGGCCACGGCGGCTGCTGCTGCAGGTGGTCCGGCGGGAGTGGCGAGGCGGGTCAACAGGAGGATTAGAAAGGTACAGCAGCAACATCGTGCAACAGTTGTGCGGCACTGCTGCTGCTGTGCGTCGTCGCTGCCTATAGCAGTGTACACCTCACGGTGTACGGCCACCGTGGCTAGCTTTGGTTGGCCACACCACGGTAGCTGGCGCATATTTGCAAAAAAAAAAAAAAACTGTTTTTTGAAAATATTTCAAGATAATTACAAAATTATTTTTGGGATAAAATCAGTTTTATTTTGGATAAAATCAAATCTTTCAAAAGTTTATATGTTTGATATTATCCATATTTAAAGTTGTTATTTTGATAATTATCCATAATTAAAGTGGTTAATTTTGGATAAAATTTGTTAGGATATTCTGAGCATATTCCAAAAGGATAATAATTGATTTAAATAATGTGATTATCCCATAATTATTTTAGGATATAATTGATTTAAAATCTTGTGATTGGATAGTAATTAGGATATAATTTCCTAATTTGTTAGGATAATCTTTGAGGATAAATATGATTTATCTTTTAAGATTAAAATAAAATTTGATTCTATCTCATGACTAATTTAAAATATAAAATATTTTATAAATAATCATGAATAATGTATGAGATTATCTAATTGCATTAATTAAAATATGAGATATTTAGATGCCATGTTTCTTTAATTGTGAACATTCGATGTTGTAGTTTAGGAAAGCACGACGAGTGATTTATTATGTGACAATTTTATAATATAAGATGTTGTTTATTTCTATATAATGACTGGTATGGCCCAGTAGATTACTAAATACGATCTGCGCATCGTGATGTATTTTTGTAATCTTAGTACGGTCTACGTACCGATAAAGTATTTTTGTAATTTTACTTCATTTTATTTAAGTAGTAGATAGAATAGAGTAAAATCATAGGTTGCAGTTAATCTAAGAAGCCCATCATGAAGTGAAGGCCCAAAGGAGCAAGGTGGATGAGATCCATGATGATTCAAGTGAGAGCTTTTACTTTATTAGTTTTCTTAGGATTAGGGGCCATGCTATGTCTTGTTTATGCATTCAGTTTATTATGCATGTTAGATTTTATTGATGTTTTGTGATGATACGCTAGAGTTTACTAAATAATCACAACATAATAAATCTAGGTCCCAGTAATATTGAGGTTGCTTTTCTAATTGAATACCCAACAATCCTTAGATCATGAGTGATAGGTCGGCCTTAGCAGAGTGTTACTTTTTATCATAGGTAATTATGGGTTAGATCACGTTCTACACATTTAATTGGTTGTACTCAACAAGTTTACCTAAAGAGTTTAGAACCTTGAAGCTAAGGGTAATAATTAAACATGTGATGATTAATTATTCAACCAAGAATTACAAGAGTTGTAATTAGTAAAGAGTTTACTCACCTTGAAAATGTAATGTTTGATGGTAGGGCCTCAGTCCGGTCAACTATTACACAAATAAAGGGTCTTGGAATCATTTAATTCAATAGGGTTCAATTTAATATTGAATAAATGTTTTAAAGTTACCAATTTAATTCGCTTATGGTACTTTAAATTTTATTAAACATAATTGAATTTTGCGTTTACTAGTAACATGTCGTTCTAATTTTATTATTATATATAATCTCCTCGATTGGAAATAAAGTTGATTAACGTTTTCAAAAGTTAAAAGGTAATCCATAAACCTATATTCCAATTTTGCTAAGATGGTTCTCACTACTACAAAATTGGTCAAAGAGAGCGTAAATAAGAGACCCTTTAATTAGATAACCGGTCTCTTTGTTCAAGAGACCGAGTTTTACAAATCACGGGTCTCGCTTAGTTTTTAAATTTTTAATTTAAAAAAAGGAGACCCTTTATTAAAGGTAACAAGTCTCTCTCGATATTTTTTTTATGAAACTTTAAAAGAGAAAGACATGTGTTTAAGATAACCGGTCTCACCGTATTTTTCCCAAAAAAAATAATAATTTGGAGAGACCTGTTACATCACTAAAATGGTCTCTCATACACTAGCTCTAATTAAACCCTAGATCTTCTCCTATCTTCAACCCGCCTCCATCTTCTTCCTCTTCTCTTAGCTCTCTCTCTCTCTTCTTTCTCTATTTAGTCCCTATCTTTTCCTTCAAATCTCCCTATCATGGGAAACTACGGTGTCAACGAACAGTTTCTCAATCCATGGGAAACTTCGTAGATCCGATGGTAAGAATGAACGAAAACCCTAGATCCCTAATAACTTTCGAAATTTGTCAAATCCAAGTAGGCTACCATTGCAATTCGTCAAATCTATTTTAATTTTTTGATTTTGTCGTGAAAATGTCGACAGGTGCAAATGGGTGCATTATTGCCATTTTATGATGTCTCGTATTTCTTCTAATTCCAATGTTTTTTTTTAATTATTATTTTAATTATTGTTTTTTTGAATCTATGGTTTATCAATTGTCGGCATGATTTTATGAATAGTTTGTATGAGGTATGAATAAGAGGAAAATCAATATTTTAAGATTTACAAACTATAATCTATGAAAATTACTCGTCTATTTATCCCAATTTTTTTGTACTTTCTTTTCTTTATGAGTATTGATCTCTTACAATCTTAGTTGAGCAGATCTGGGTTTGAATTTGAACAGAGTAAAATGCTTGCAATCTGGTGGAAATTAAAGCCGAATTGCATGAATTATACGAAAAGGAAGGGAAACATCTGATAATATGCAAAATATAAAATTAAAGGTGGTGGTTATTCAGTTACTTTTCTTCTGCCTTCATCTACTGTCAACTCATTGGTATACTAGATGAAATGTGAGATAATTGTTTATTTTTAGTTCTTTTTACAATTTATTTAATGAAAATTATGTAATTTATAAGTTATTTTGATTATTTTGGAAAATGATTTTTTCTGAATCAGGTTTATGGGATTTTGTAAGAACATTGAAGGTATTGGACAATTGAGAGTTCGAGATTTTGCAGTTGAAGAATTTGTTTCCATCTCTTCCACTTTGTATATAACTATATAATTTCAATATAATTTTGTAATGGATTTCAATTTAATTATGCAATTTTGATTCTTTTAATGTGAAGGTGTAACTTGCAATATTCCAGTAATTTCAACATAGTACTCCGTATCTATAAGAATAATTAAATGCTTAATTTTTTTTATTTTAAATGAAACCAAAGAGACCGGTTGAGTTAAATAAACAGTCTTAGTTTTTGAAAAAAAGAGACCACCTACCTTAAATAGGTGGTCTCAAATTTCTGAAAAAAGAGACTGCCTATGTTAGATAGGCGGTCTCAATTTTCAAAAAAATGAGACTACTGTAGGGAATAATTTCAAGCCTTAATCCCACTAGCTTGAACCCCACTGTGATCATACACTAAAGTACGGTGGCGTCCAAAAGGGAAGAAGATAGAGCAAAAGAGTCGCCAACATGTTTTAGGAACTTGTAATCCGTTCACGAGGTGAAGTTTACACCCCTTAACGATCCAAGAGATCGTCAACTCCATAAGGTCTTGAACCAAATAAGGGTTCGGGGAAGAACGTACAAATCCAACCTAAAAGAGATTGAACCTGCCCTAATAATAGGCCTCTACTTTATTCTAATCGTATTCATGTGCGCTTTCTAATTAACATGCAATCAATAGGATTAACTCTAAACTTGTTTATCTATGTTGGTTGAATATTAATGCACAAATAAAACTATTATTGGCGATCACTTGAATTATAATCACATTAACCCTAACAAGATTAATAATATCTTATTAAGCAGGATTATAAGTATCAAATTCCCTTTAAACATGCATAAAAGATGTGATCAAGCAATAACAATAAATAAGCATCAAACAACATAATAGTAATCAATAATTAATAATCATGACAATAAAATTATAATCATCAAAATAATAATAATAATAATAATCATAAATTATAACAATTATAATCATAAAATCATAATCATAAATCATAATTAAAATAATCATATCAACATTAAAGCATAATAATAATAGCAAGATCCTAGGCATGATACTAACAAGATTAATAACAAACCCTAGCATGTTACTAAGCAATAAAAATCAAATCTTTAGCCCTAACATGATACTAACAATCATAAATATTAGGAAGAACATAGGAAGCATCATAACAATCATATTCAATATTAAAATTACCCTAGACATGATACTAGGAATATCATAATAACAATATAAACATGATTTCTAAATCATAACATCAATTAAAACCATTAAAGCACTTACTTTGATGCCTCGTACCTCTTTCTAATAACAAAATACACACGTTAGTAACTTCAAGGAAAATAATAAAACAAACAATTAAAGTAAATAATTGAAATAAAGATTTGGTACTAAACCCTCAGAAATTAAACCTTTCACGTCTAGGGCGAAGACAACTTCGAATATGGCTATGTGTTTCTAGATCTTGCGAATGCGGAATTTTGTATGTGAAAACAAAGTTTAGAAAAGAGAAAGATGAATTAATGAATTAAAGAAGAAAACTTGATGAGAATTGGTGAATGAGTAAAGAGGATGAAAGAGAATTAATGATTGCGAATGAAAACTGATTGTTGATGAATGAAAACGGAGTTTTTAATACGTTATTTATAGAGAAATCAGCCAAAAAGATAAAATATCAAAACAGAGCACTTGGCGCACGCAAAACGAGGTTGGCGCACGCAAAACAGAGCTGGCGCCAGGCGCCAAGCCTGTTTTTAACGCGTTTTCAAAAATCAGATAAGTTTGCCGTACTGGAGGATAAAATCGTATCTTTTCCTCGAAAATGCTTTTTTATTTTAATTAAAACTCTGAAAAGTCAATAAAAGTCAATTTATCAATGTTAATTGAATTAGGAATGAAAAGAACCTTCTAGAAGAATCTAGAAGACTAAAACCATTCCTAATTGCATTAGGAATGATAAATCATTTTAGGCCCTCCCCTAGATCATTGGGCCGTATATAAAGCTCAAACCGAGCCTAGTTTAGTAAATTGGCCATAATTTCCTCAATATTCATCGAAATTGGGCTTATAATCTATCGTTGGAAAGCTCTTGTCAAGCCCCATCCAACTACACTATTATTGGACCCATATCATGGACCAACCAAACTGGATTGGCTGTTTTCTTAAAATAAGTTTTCAAAAACAGAAAGAAGAGAAAAGAAATTAAAAACTATCCGCAACACTAGACTTTCCACACTTTCGCTTCATTCGATTATGATTCGACGTGAAAGGTACTCATCACTGGGTTTGGTTTTGGGGAGACACAAATGGGTGTCTACAGAAGCCCCCACTTTGACTGAGTTTGGAGAAACGCGAGTTTCAAAAACAAAAGTCAAAGTAGCGATAGGGACGAAGAATGACTCAGAACGTTCTACGATCCTAAACCACTCTTGTAACGCCGATACCTGCAAAACTAGCGTTAGTTAAACAGATAAAAGAGTTAAGAAACGCGTATCTTGCACCGTCGAGCACACGTCTCTGAAAGTAACCGATTTGTTGTCGCTTCACTGTTGTTTTGATGACCTCCTGCAAGCTAGAGAATTCCATCCCGCTTGAAAACCTCTACGCCTGTAACTGCTTCTAATATAGAAGATTGCTTCGCCTGAAACGATCCTCCTCCGCTGTGATAATATTCCGCGTCCAAGGGAACATCATCGAAAATTATTTCTCTCGAAACAATCCTCACCCGCATTGATAATATTCCACGTCTAAGAGAATACTATCGAAGATTATTTCTCTTGAAATAATCTCCATCCGCATTATGACCATCTTCCATGCCTAAGGGAACATGATCGAAGAAAACTTCGCCTGAAATTACCTCCAGTTGTTTGTGACAACTTTCCACAATCTAGAGAACGCCACCTTGCTGTTTCGATGTTCACTCGTCTCTGAACAAAGAGCTTCCTTTTGATATGTTCACGTGTCTCTGAACAAAGAGCTTCTTTTTGATATGATCTTCTGAATGATGTGTCCACGTGTCTCTGAACGAAGAGCTTGATAATAGGATGCCCACGTGTCTCTAAGCAAAAGAGCTTGTAGGAAATGTCCACGCGTCTCTGAACAAAAGAGCTTGAAAAGGATTGTCCACGCGTCTCTGAACAATAGAGCTTGAATGAAAATTATCACGCGTCTCTGAACAATAGAGCTTGATGGAATTGTTCACGCGTCTCTGAACAAGAGAGCTTGAATAATATGCCCACGCGTCTCTGGAGCAAAGAGCTTTGATGGAGATGTTCACGCGTCTCTGAACAAAGAGCTTTGGTACTTGAACGTTTGTTGCGATAATATTCTGAAGAAAAATTTCCGAAGACCAACGTTTGTCGATCTCTAAAGCTCGCCTGAACTTTGCTTCCGCTAAAACCAATATGTCGGTGTTTCCGTGATGAGCCAATTCTTAGGCGCTTTAAGCTAAGTGAGACGATCTTTCATCAGACCGACCACTTATTGTGATTGTAATCAAACTGACTACTTAATCATGTCAAATTGCTTATAGGGGCTAACTGGCGTACCAAGGAACCCAAAATTGCTGTAAGAGGTCAAAATCACCTTTCTGAGAGGCTTCGAGCTCTGTCGCTGCCGAAATATCTCTGGCGCCAAGAATTGACTCTGTCGCCGAAAGCTGTGATAGGGTCTTCCCTATTCTGCTGCACCTGTATTTATTTTGACTATAGAACTTTGCCAATTTCTTTAACCATCTTAGGGTTGACCTAAGGTTTAACATCGCTTGACTTATCGACTTGACACGAATCAAGGTATAAACTTGACTCGATATGATTGCCTGACTCGAGGTTGACTCGACTCAAAGTGAAATGACACATGTGTTAGACTCAAATCAAGGTGATATGACACGACATGACTCGTGTGTGCATTGTAATGTGGTCGTGCGACTCGAAAATGCAAAAAAGCAAAAATTTTCCGTCATTTTTGTGGAGGGTACCGACTTTCTCCCGAAAAAGAAAGACGCGAAAAAAGAATCGAAGTTTTTGAAGGTGCATGTTAAATGAGTTTAGCCAAATGTCATTTGATACTATCTCTCAAGGTGTGAGGATTAATCCGTCCTAGGCTATCTCAATTGTTGACTCAATGATGAAAGTATTTAGGTAACTTAGGCAATGGAGGCTAAGCACTTCATGCTTCGTGATGCAATGACAAATATGACTGATGAGCGATGTTGATATGACAAGGCATGCTTCAACGTTGTGTTAAGATTCCATGACAAGGGTTCCTAAGGGAAGTATATTTGGTCATGTATCTGTGATGTGTGTGATAGTGACACTAAAGTTAGGCCGCAAGGGGCTAAGTGTGTGGGAAAATATATTGAAAAGAGTCAAATGGTGGTGACTCTTAGGCTAGGTAAGCTAATGATGTAGGGATCAAGCCCCCAAGTCTAGCTCTAAGTAAATAGGGATGAGCACAGGGAATCCCTTGATATGATCACGGTGTAAGTGTGTGAATGTGAATATGAATGCATTTTTATTACGGCCGCACCTCGATGTGAGGTTGCCTACGTATCCGTTAGGAATCAGGCCGAACGGAGCTCTAGCCGAACCTTGCACAAGTGTGTATACCTCAAAAAGGGCTTTTAAGGGTTGTAACGTGGTTAGGCTAAAGTTTATAGAAGAAAGGGATAAAGGCTCAAGACCCTAGATAAGCCCCCAAGGTATGCAACCTCGCTTTTGAATCTTTATATTTTTATGCTTGAGTTTCTACTCTTTTTTTAGCTCTCTTTTTTTTGCTTTAGCATTTATTTCATTTTTATAAGTGTGAGCAATCTCGATCATGTGGTCTATCACTCACTTGGCATTCATGTTTCTCAGGCACGGTACCGAGCACTCGATAAGAGACGCAATCTGAGACGTGTTCTTATCGAAGATATTTTCATATCAAAGACATTGGAACACTTGCCCTTTTGTACACTTTTATTTATTTTTTGCTATTTTTTCTATTTTAATCTTTTGAATTTGCTCAATCTTTCTTTAGAATTGCAAAATTTGCACACTATCCCATCCCAAGGATAGATAGGTGTAGGTTAAAAAAAGAAAGGTCTATCGTTAGACGAGGCTCAAAGTAGTTTATGAAGAAAGGATGTATAATTGAAGGGCGAAATGAGATATGATGTGGCTACAAGGGGTGCCTCAAATCATTGGTATACCTTGTGCTTAGTTCGACATGGATTTTTTTTTTATATATATATAAGACTCAAACCGGGCCCAGTTTAGTAAATTGGCCATAATTTCCTCAATATTCATCGGAATTGGGCTTATAGTATATCGTTGGAAAGCTCTTGTCAAGCCCCATCCAACTACACTATTATTGGACCCATATCATGGACCAACCAAACTGTATTGGCTGTTTTCTTAAAATAAGTTTTCAAAAACAGAAAGAAGAGAAAAGAAATTAAAACTATCCGCAACACTAGACTTTCTACACTTTCGCTTCATTCGATTATGATTCGACGTGAAAGGTACTCATCACCGGGTTTGGTTTTGGGGAGACACAAATGGGTGTCTACAACTACTTATCTTAGATAGGCGGTCTCAGTTTTTTCATTGTAGGGACCACTTCTAATAAAGCAGTCTCTTTGCCAAAGACACCGCTGAGCTAGAGACCACCTCTAAAGCAGTATCTTTGGCCTTTTTCAACGGGTCTCTTTGGCCTATTTTGTAGTAGTGAGGCAAGTTTTAAAAACCCATGTCAAATATCTAAGGTTGGTTTTATTCAAAATGTTTGAGTAAATGCCAACACATCTTCATTTTGAAAAGTGTTTCAAGGGATATAATGAGATGGGAGGTACAAACCCTCTAAAATACAAGTATAGAAGTCCAATAAAATCTCTTATCCTCAATATGATTGAATATAAGAAAGTGATTGGAAATCTCTATGATCAAAAGTTGATCAAATGACATTATTCTTCATCCATTTCATATAGAGTTAAATGGTTGATTAAACTCTAATATGAATAATGATTGAATAAGACTTAGCAAAATCATGAAAAGTGCTTAAAGAAGTTAAGCAAATCATCATTTTGAACCTAAGAGAAGTTTTCTAAGTGGCTTAAATGGGAAAGGTTTAGGAATATATGAGGATTGCATTAAGAAGTTATAGGCCAAGAAATGAAAACAAGTTGCTACTTCTCAAACCGAGAACTACTTATATGCTAAAAGTTTTTATGAACAACAAATGTTTCAAATTAAATGGATCAATTCCAATTTATTAGAAACTACCTCATATAGTTGGAAGGTAAAAGAATGGAAATGTTCCAATTTAAGAAGTATATTATAGAAATTGATTTAGCATATTGCTACTTCTTGGACATACGATGTCTTGTTTAGTTCACTCATTAAAAAATGTGGTTGAACTAAAGGAAGAAGTTATGGCTAAGGGAGAAATAAATCTACAAGTTTACAAGCAAATGTTGCTACTTCACAAGTACAATCTACAAGTCTGGAAGCAAAAGTTGCAACTTCACAAGTAGAACTTATACCTAGTTATTGACTAGAATTAAATAAATGTTATTAATTCTTGTCATTATCAAAACATACCCATTCAATATTAGTAATGACTAAGCATTGAAGATTCAAAAACATGGACTAAATGCTATTCTATGCTTCATTGAGTGATAATATGTTTTAAATTGCTAAATATCTTTAAAGTTCTATAAGATAGAAATTATTACACAATTTCTATATATAAATTGTCTCTAATATGTCAATTAATTCGAATGAAAAATGAACATTGCATGCGGAAGAACCAAATGGATGGACTTTCAATATCATTAGATTTTGCATCTATTGATATATGTAATTATCATTCTAATTTGATATTCTGACAAAGTCACCATTTAGAGAAATGATGATGCAAACTCAAGGTCGAATACATATCGATGTAAGAAAACCAAAGGTTCAAAGGCGAGAGACGGACAATGAAACTTCATTTGTGATATGATCACTTGTGCTTAGTTGAAGCATAACTGTGAAAGTTTTGAAAAGTTCAAAACGTCCAGTATGAAATTCAAAATCAACTTGATAAGATAATAAATACACTACAATATAATTGTAATGATAAAAGTTTGAGTTAAGACATTTACTTGGCAACACATTCAAAATATTGCGATATGATCGTAATAATGAGAATTAAGCCAAGACCTTGACGAACATCCAAGAGTTGTGAAATCGTTTTACGACAAACTCCGAAAGAAAACCTTGTGAAGTGTTTATGAAGGGAGCTATCAATATATATGAAATATATTTTGATCACTAGTAGAAAAAGGCTCATTTGCGTCGTTCATTTATAGAGTATTTGCGTCGCTTCTATGAGCGACGCAACTGCTCGCGACGCAAATGACTTTTAAATCATTTGCGTCGCTTCTAGGCGCGACGCAAATAAGAGTCATTTGCGTCACTCCTTTATAAACAAGTGACGCAAATAAGAGTTATTTGCGTCGCTCCTTTATAAAGGAGTGACGCAAATAGCTGTTCTGAGCAACTTCTTGTTTGTTATTTGCGTCACTTGTTTATATAGGAGTGACGCAAATGACTGTCTAGACAATACAAAATTGCTTTATTTGCGTCACTTGTTTGTTTAATGAGTGACGCAAATGATGTGAATTTTTTTTTTAAATTTTAATAATTGCTTGTATATGTTTGTAGTACCTGTTTTCCTTGCTAGTGGTATAAAGTAATATGTTAACGCCAATAATTGAAATTAAAATACAATATTAATGAATGCAAATGTAAATTTCGGCAGAGTCTCCTTTGTATTTTGGCCTACCCATAAAATTGGGAATGATGGCATTATATTAACAACCTGTCCAATAAAATTTACATCTCAATATCATAGACATTATACTCATCATCCCAACACCAATTAACCAAAATCATTTATGTCAAGCCTATATTCCAAAACAAGAGTCCAACATGCGCTAAGTGTAAATCTAAAGTTCAACATTACATATAAAATACTCTGCCCAAATATCTCGAATCTCATTTATCTCCTCCTCAGTATATGGTGTAATTCTTGAAAAATCCTATCAACACAAAAAATATACAAGAGGAAAGTTTTAATTCAAGATTGTAGCTAACATCATATCAAATTGTATTTATCAAACAAAAATGAAATATTTGACAACTCATACCTTAATAAGATCCTCACTGCTATGATGATGTTCAAGTATTTCGTACATATAACACATGACGTAGTAGCCACACTCACGTCCACCCAATTGTTAAATTACTATGTGATGTACCTGGACTCCTGGAGAAAATGTAAGTGGCCAAGACTCTGGATAACTAACCACTATAGGTTTAATGACAACTAGTGACACTTTTATTTAAAAAGACACTTTTGTTTAAAAACTGATGATGCCCTACTCAAATTCTGCTACATAGCTGAAATGCAAGTTGAAATGCCTTCATGTACCAGGGAAAAAAAGAAAAACACAAAAGAGAAAAAATCCCTAAAAGGACACAAGCTACTAGGCTACAATGCAACTAAATCATTAAGCAAAAGTTAAGGATTTGTTCATATGCTCAGCTTTCAAGAGTTCAAACCGAGAAGAGGAATTCACTAATCAAAGCATGGGAAGAAAGTGAGAAGTGCAAAGTCGAAAACAAGTAATATTACTTTCAGTCATGTCATCATTCCATTGTTTTGTCTTTAAGTTGCTGAGGGACAGGCTGAATTACTGAAACACAGTTTTTTAAATAAAGATTTGAGTGAACCAGTCCTAGGAATGTTCTCTAGAGTTGTTCTTGGATAGATTTTACATGTGACATATCTAGTATAGTTTGAACCATATTCTAGTTTTAAGTGTTTGTCGTCTGACCAATGCATATAAATATAAACGATACTCTTTGATGGAAAACATGGGACTCATTTATATACTAATTGAATTGAGCAGGGCACAAAAGAAAATTGTTGATGTAGAGGCATGGGAGAACAGCAGGAAAGTAACTGCTGAGGCTGAGTTAAAAAAGATGGAGGTATAGTATTGCCATTGATTTTGTCTCTTTGAGTATATTGTGCTGCGTGACAGAAGGCTCTTTAACTGTTGAGGATTTCATGAGTGCAGGAAAAGTTGGAAAAGAAGAAAGCAGAATACGCGGAAAAATTGAAGAACAAAGTGGCAATGATTCACAAGGAAGCAGAGGAAAAGAAGGCGACAATTGAAGCCAAACGTGCTGAGGATATTGTCAAAACAGAAGAGTTGGCTGATAAATATCGTACCACAATTGGCATGTGAGTCAAGTTCGATTGTGTAAATTATTCAGGAACCGGGGAGTAAATGCTTATCCATTCTTAGCCTTGAGAGTTCCATATAGCATTACCCTAAAATTATTCCAAGCTATCGCTAAAATTTAGTTACAGCTTTTAATTAACGTGATACAAGTAAACCCTCTTAACCAACGAAATAAACTTACAGGTGTAATTAAGAGGCCTAATACAAAATAAGATTGAATTTCGTTCGAAAAATTTTGTAGGAGTAAAATGTACATGCTTACCCTACCACTTACAAAAAAAAAAAATAAAAAAAAAAAATTATGGGAATATATATGGGACAAAAGTTTAATACACAAACTTATCAAGGGACAAGTGAATCAAACAAGCAATTAGATTGTGAAAAGGGTGAAAAGGAAAGAACAAAAAAGGTCTTAATTTTATTTGTACAAGTGTTCCATGGTTTTGTTTATTTAATTAGCAGGTGTATAGTTTGGGCAGACTTATGAAAATTTATTACATTTTTCATACCTCATAATTAGCAGTAGATATCATAGACATGCTGCCAACCGCCATTGGCTTGCTCTTTAGCGAAGGATTGCTCAATGTCTCAACCGCAGCATAAAAGGCATCCATATCTACATGAAGCCAAATTCTTTCTGCAATCTGTACATTTTCATAAACACTGGGATAATAAAACAATAGCATAACTTATGACCAAAATAGCAGGAACCAACCTTCTGATAGTGAGCTATATCAGTTATTTGAGAGGTGATAATTCACTCACCGAATTCAATTATAAAGGCAGTAATTCACTCACCAAATTCCTGGTGTTTTAATTCGATTTTTTTTGCTCGAAATTGTTCGAATTTGCTCAATTTTTTTGCTCGAATTTGCTCGTATTTGCCCATAATCAAATTTGCTCGAATTCCTGGGGTTTCTTAGGGTTTTTTTTGTTGTTTTGCTCAAAAATGGGGGTTTGTAAACCTGAATTTTTTCCGATTATGGGTGTTGTCAACATTGCGGTTTGATTGTTGAATTTGTGGGGGTTTTTTGGGTCGAATTTATTGGGGTTTTTAGGTTGAATTTCTGGGGTTTTTGGGTCGATTTCATAGGGTTTTTGGGTCGATTTTCTAGGGGTTTTTAGGTCGAAATTCCTTGAATTTCAGGTTGATTTTTGCTCGAATTTCTTGGGGTGTATGGGTCGAATTTCTGGGTTTTTTTTGCTCGAATTTCTGAGGTTTTTTTGCTCGAAATTCTGGGTGTTTAGCTGTAGGAAATCGCTGTTCTTGGAAGATAGGAGTAGTGCTGTTTTTTTGTTTTAGTAAAAGGGAGGCAGCTAGCAAGTGGAATCCGAAAAAAACCTAAATGCAAAAGAGTGATTTGCGTCACTCAACTAATAAAATGTGATGCAAATAACTCAAAGTGTAATGCTGCACATTACTTATTTGCGTCGCTTATTAATTAAAGGAGTGACACATTTGACTTCTATCACTCATTTGCGTCACTTGTCACTAAATGAGCGACGCAAATAACATAATTATATGCGTCGTTTCACTAATTAAGAGCGACGCAAATAACAAAAAGCTAAAATGTATCTGACTTTTGCATCGCTTCTTGGTTAATGTGCGACGCAAATAACTTTTAAGGATGCTTAAAAAAACATTTGCTTCGTTCTTTTGTATGAGTGACGTAAATAAGGCGATGCAAATGTACGTTTTTCTACTAGTGGATAATGGATGAAAATTACCTATCTTCCAACCATTTTTCAAGGGATATACTTTTAATATAAGCTACACAACTAAAAAAAACTATATATGTCAAATCAAATGTAGCAAAAACTCCATATATGATATGGATAAGAAGAGTTCTTATAAAATCTTTCTACAAAGCAAGGAATAAAAGTTGTATTAAATCATTTAATGCACGATCAATTCCTATACAGAGCACGGGGTACTACTACACAAATCATACTTAGCACAAAATGTTTGTTGCTCAAGCAGGTGCCCTTATGGAAATTGTTCCAAAAGGTCAAGTAGGAGTAGTATAAATCTCAAAAGAGTTCGAGAAAAACAACAAATAATCGTGGTTCAAACCATGATTGGTTCACCCTATGCTTAATATGCCTCCTCAAAAGGCAAGTGGGAGTATAAGAATCTCGAAAAGTTAGAGAGCCTTGAAAGAGTTCAAGAAAAGTGATTTCAAACATCTTGAAGAAATTTGAGAAGTAATAGAATAAAAGCAACAATATGATCATGATTCACCTCATGTTACAAATGACAACGCGTGGTCTCATTAAGTGTAATGGGAATAATAACCATGTGTCAAAGGTAGTACATTCCAAGTGCACATCCTCTGTTGTCGTTTCTCATTGAAACTAAACAAAGTTGTTGTGTAAGTTTCAATTGTTGCATAAAAACCCACAATGATGATTAGCATATGTAAAACTTGGCCAAAGAAATATGATTATTGACTAAGAGTTCTAAAATATTTATTTTGGAACATGATGATTATGCAAGTAATAAAGATGATTTGGCAAGTGATAACTCCAATTGGTTTAAAAACCAGGAAATCTGAAATAGATTCTTAGTCTGTAAGCAAATGTGTGAAACTTAATTAATTTGCCTAATTAGGAGAGGCCCATTATAAGAAAAACAGACAAGAAAGAAAAATGTTTTCTAGCTAAGCAAAGACTTGTTAAAGGATTCAGCTAATTCATAGTATGACTATGACTACGATGAAAATTTTACATTAGTCGTGTTGCAAAGATCTATTAAAGATATTTTAGTGATTTCTACCTTATGAGATTTGATAGATGGATTTCAAAGCGCTTTCTTGAAATGGTTCATGAAAGAATATTTGCATATGATACAATCAAAAGTTTTGAAAACCCAACAATCCTAAGGATGCATAAAAGATCCATTAATGGAATAAGGAAGCATCATGGACTTAATGTTCTTAATTTTTTAAGTTAATCAAATCGTTTGATGTTCTCGTAAAATAAAGAAAAGGTCTTGTGTATACAAGATGTTTAGTGGGAGCTATAAAGTCTTCTTGGTCTAGTATAAAGAGCCATTATTTATTGCTTGAAGAGTCAAGTGGTGGGTAATGCATTTTGTATGAAAACCTAGAGAAAGATGAGTACAGTTGGTATTCAAGATCTATAGAGTTAGGTTTTCAAGTATGATTGAGCTTGGTTAAGAAACTTATATTGATAAGATTCTTATAAGGTTCAACATTATATTGAAAGGAGTTTCAATCCCATGTAACATGGCACATTGTTTAAAGATTCAATGCTTTGAGAAAGGTGGATGAAATTAATGTTTTGAGTGATGCTCCTTATGCAGTTTGTGAAGGATGCATCATGCATATGATGGACTATACTCGTCTATATGATTCACATTTTTTAAAGACAAGTGATGATATATTTCAAATCGAAATCCAATGTAATGTTGGAATACAAATTAGAAATTCCTAAGTTCCTTGCGAAGGGACGAAGGAGAATTCTTAGTGTATGGAGATGAATATTATTATAAAATTTAGAAGTTTCAAAATTCGTGTTTATGAGAATGTCTCATGAACTCTACTTAATAAACCTCTTTCATGATCAAGGTATGAGAGTCATACTAAGGATTCTTGGATTGAAACAAGTTATGTAATTTAAGTTGTATATGTTTTGAGAAAGGATATTACATAAGTAATACATCAACTTGCAGAATTATGTTTATCAATTGAAACAAAGTTTCAATCTTATTTAATTATGGTTTTTGATATTAAATTAAATGTCCAACATAATTATGGATTGATGGGCTCATCAGGTTGATGACCTAGTGAATGAAACCCCACAAGTGAACAAAATCCATATATTATTCAAGTTCCTAGTTCGGAATCATTAAAGTGGACATAAATGATTTCAATAAATGGACTAGCATTTAAGATTGATTGGATAGCGCAGTTTCATGGGCTATAGGAGCGTAGTGAAGCTTGGTCAATCACATGGATATGCATGAATGATGCATGATCGGACTATAGACCTACTTTGAAGCTCAAGTATAGAGCTTCCGGATATTTAGTAGATTCCTTTGACATGAGTGGAACATTGATTCCATTCAATGATTTATGTAATTGTGTACATTCAAACGTCTTCCCGTAATTGGAGATTATAAAGGGTGTTTCCTGGTTACCTCATGATTTGAGTGGGAGCCTTGGTTTCCACAAGATTGGATTGAATCTACCTATTTAATTAGGAATGTGTCTTGGCCCCTTGAAGAGGGAGAATTCAGAAAATGCATGGTCGTGCTCAAATGGATTACATAGTAATCATTTGTTTTGTAATTCTAACTCAGTTTTTCAAGAAAAGATTTGTAGATTAATATGATCATGACATGAGATGCAATCATATTATCAATTCGACACACATTGGCTTAAGGAATTTTAATATTCTGCACTTGTCTCAGACAAGTGGGAGATTGAAGGAGTTCTGTCTTTGATAAGTGCAATTACTAGATATATCAAGGATCACTATTATAGAGATAATAAGTTCGTTCTTTTAGGTCGTCATTATCTGTTGCTAGACTATGAGCGATGATCTTTGGACTAGTCAAGTGGTCCAAAGCCCGCTAGAATGGATCCTATGAAGTCACACATAAGGGCATTGGGTTAAGCAAGTTAGAGGCCCATTAAAGGGCCTCACGAGCAATTAACTAATCATAAAATGGATTGGGCTAGCATAGTTAGATTGGAATTAGGTTTTGGGCTTTTGACATAGGCTCTTATTTAGATATAAGATCTATAAATAAGATCCATGCCTAGGGTTGCTTGCAAGCAGTCATAATTCACACATAGTGTATTTTGACATCAAGGCAACCAATCCCAAAATCCTAATTCCTATCTCTATATCACGACTATCTCTCTCCTCCCCTCGTCCGTACGGCCGGCCGGCCACCCTTGGTGGCGCGTGTGGTGGTTCGTGGTGCTTCATGGTGGTTCGTTGCTCGCTTTTCTCTGTAGAAGGTCAATTGAAGGGTTCAATTGCAACTAACTAGCATTAATGGAGGTCTTAATCTGTGCCCATGGACCAAGTAAAGGAATCACGCTTGGGGTTCTTTATCTCCCATTGTTCTTGCTCGATCGCACGTGGAATCACACTTCAAAGGTACAATTATATGTTCTTTATGTGTTATGCATTAGATCTTGGGATTAGGTATTGTATGAATATGATTCATGTTTATTCCGCAATTAGTACCTAGAATCTCCTACACCTAGAGATGAGAATACCAAAGAAGCTCCTTCCACACCTATACAAGCTGCAAATGGTATTGGTGAAGCTAGTGACGATGATAATGCTACGAGTCCTAGAGGTAAAAAATCTTTCTCAGATTTGTACGATGAATGTCCAGTCTTTCACCTAGATCCGGAGGAATATGAAAGATATTACCTTGGTCTTGAAGATCCCCAAACATATGAGCAAGATTTTGAAGACAAAATAAAGGTGGCAACAAGCAATGGAAAATGAAATCAATATGATCAAGAAAAATTAGACTTGGGAGTTGGTTGATAGACCAAGTGATCGCAAAGTGATTGGCGTCAAGTGGATCTACAAAATCAAATTGAATCTTGATGGGACCGTAAGCAAGTTCAAGGCTAGATTGGTCATCAAAGGATACTCCTAACAAGCAGGAATTGATAATGGATATACATTTGCTCCGGTGGCTAGGCTTGACACGGTTAAAACTTTGATTGCTTTAGCAGCTCAAGAGAAGTGGAAGATTTATCAACTTGATGTCACGTCTGCCTTTCTCAATGGTGAACTCGAGGAGGAAATTTACACTGATCAACCTCCCGGATTTGCTATTAAAGGGCAAGAAGAAAAAGTGTGAAAGTTGAAAAAGACTCTTTATGGGCTAAAACAAGAACCACGGGCATGGTACAACAAGATTGACTCATATCTACTTGCACAAGGGTTCAACAAAAGTAAAAATGAGCACACTCTCTATGTGAAGAATCAAGGTAAAATGATTTGCTCATTGTTTTACTCTATGTTTATGATCTTCTTGTCACGGAAAACAATTCAAATATGATCCTCTCGTTCAAGGAGGAGATGAAAAGGAAGTTCGAAATGACAGACTTGGGCTTAATGAATTATTTCCTAGGGATGGAAGTTCAACATGCTGAAGATGGAATCTTCATCTCTCAAAGGAAATATTCAAATGATGTTCTTAAAAAGTTTCATATGCAAAACTACAAGCCTGTGAATACACCTCTTGTGGTGAATGAGAAGCTGTCCAGAGATGATGGTCAAAGGAAAGCTGACACTAGGCAATACATGAGCTTAGTTGGAAGCCTACTTTACCTTACAGCAACAAGGTTAGATCTGAAGTTCGCATCAACTTTGCTTTCAAGGTTCATGAGTGAGCCAAGTGATGTTCATATGGGTGCTGCCAGAAGAGTGCTCATGTATAT